GGGCTGTGCTGGGGCGGGGGCGGCCCGGTGCTGCCCGGGGCCCAGCGCCCGCCCGGGTTCTCCCCCGCCGGGAGTCGCTTTCCGACGGTGCGGTTGAACTGCCGCCTCTGTCCGGAACAGTCTGCGCCGTACGCCCGTTTACAGCGATGTCACGGAGCGCCGCGTCGCCTGCGGTGGTGGCAGGCACGGAACCCCACACATCCCTTTCCTTGCACCCCCTGAAGGGGTAGCTCTGCCCGAAGCGAGCCGGGAGGATGCTTGCCTATCTCCCCGGCTTTCCTCTCCATCCCTTTTTACTCCACAGGAATGTTTATGGGTATTTCCCCCCCCCTCCTGTGCCGTACCAGAAATCAGGGCAGCCAGGGGAGGAGGAGGCAGAGGGCTATTTCAGGGAGCTGCTGTTATCTGCTCTGTGTTAATCCCCTGGCTGGGTGGGGGGAAGGTTTTCCCGGAGTGCTTTACTGGGAGGGCATATATTAAACATTGAAAAGCAAAGAGAGGAACAGGATTAGAGGGAGAGAGAGGAAGCTGGCTGCTGGTTTTACTCAAGTTATCCGTTTGCTCTGCTTTTATGGATGCAGCAGCGTGAGCAGTCTCACTTGGGGTTTTTTTTGTTTGTTTGTTTTGTTTTTTCCCCCTCCTTCCTTTCCCCACGTCTGTCTCTCTCCCTCTCAGGTGTCTGCGTTTCGGGGTCCTTTTGCATCACCGTTATCCAGGAGCCCGGGAAGCCCCCTCACCCCCCTTCCTCCCGGTTTCACCTCCCGCTGTAGCTGAGCTGCTGAGATAATGGAGCTCAGGACTGTAGTAGCCACCGTGGAAAGCGGGGAGCAAGACACGGTTCTCAAGGTGCTTCAGATCTACAACCAGGAGGTGAGTGAGCATCAAACCTCTGCCTCACGTCAGCTGCTGCTGTTTACGAGCCTGGAAACAGGTTGGCCATGTTGTGGGATTTCTGTGCCATCCGGCTGTGCCCAGTCTGTCTCCTCTGAGCGCATCTGCCTGCGCGTTACTGCCATAAAAATGTTACAGACTGCTTCGTCTTTTACTTGCAGATGGTTTATTGCTTTGTGTTTTGCTAGGAAGCAGCTGTGCAGCCTCTTTATCTTGGTTCCTTTGTATACTGGAAGAAAAGCACGTAGAAAGGAATTTTTTTTTTTAATTGTTATTATCCAGATGCCAAGTAAAACCTGGCAGGGAAATAAACATCAGTGTGAAGACTGAGTAGGAGGAGCTTTTATGTTAAGGTGAGGTTTGGAGGTAATAAGACTGAGGGCTGGGGAGGAGCTGCAGGTGAAACGGTTGTTGTGATTTGCAAGTAAAAGATCATTAGAGGTGGACAGGGATGGGCTGCTGGAATCTCATACAGGTGCCTGATCTGAAAGCTGAGGATAAGTAGTAAATAACAAATGTAGAATATTTAAAAAAAAAATGGTTGGAAAGCAGAGATGGAAGTGTTTCTAGCCTTACAGTGGCAAAAGATTATCTGTGGGGGTAAATCTCTTTTGAAAGAGACTCTGGTTGTCAGGGAAATTTCCTTCAGAGGGTTTCCACCAGGGTAGGGCTGGCCCTGCAGATCTCCGTGACTCATTCTGCACCATTCCTGAGTAGGTGGGAAGCCAGTGGGGAAAACCTGTGAGTATTTTGCACGAGTGTGCAAGAGGGAGAGCGTGCAACTATTTCCAGCAGTCGGTTTTGAAACAGGAGACACATTAGCTAAGAAGGAGCGGACCAGCGGAGCTGGATGTGTGACCAGCTTGAGGCATCAAACCGCGATGTTTTCTGTTGAATTCCTTCAGCTGGATCCTTTGTTGGTGTATCACGCGTAGGAAACTTGTGAGAATGTCAGTGGTTTTGCCAGCCGTTTTAGGAGAAATGGAACAATCAAAGAGGAAACTGCAGATAAACCAAGCAACTTCCTTGCATCCTTTTTTACTGTAAAAATTGATGGTACTCTATCCTTATTTCTGGGGATATATTTTAATTTGCTAGTGCATGCACAGTCAATTTTTGATTACCAGGAATAAACTACAGCTAAAGCAAACCCACAGGTCTGGCAAAAATATGCATGAATGAGATTACGGGAGCCCGCAAAGAGGACGCGATGGGAAAAGAACAAGTGGCATGGTTGTCTGCTGAGCACGTCGGTTCTGCGACGGAACCGCCACTTCCTCACGAGGTGGTGTGACAGCCTGAGCACGGATCAGCTCGCCGTGCTGCAGCAGGAGAGGGCAGCCCCTGGCACAGCGCTCCGGGGGGACAGCTGTCGTGCCTCTACACCCTGAGGCTTCTCAAGCGCCGCGTCGGCATTGCTTTGTCCGTCACGGCTTGTTCTGGGCTAGAAAGACCAAAGCCATCCCTGGGATCCTGGTGTCTGTGACACAGTTGATCTGCAAATTTTATCTTCTGCTTTTAAGCAGGCAGGAACTGGCAGCGCACAAAAAAGGCAGTGAAGGGCAGGGGAGACTACATCTGCTGGGTGAGGGAGTCCGGGAACGCCTGCGATCGCCAACAGCTCAGTGCAGTCAGCCCTGGGCTTCGCTGGGCAGGAAATCGGGCAGGGTTAGACAAGAGGACAACTCGTAAGGTGATAAATACAGTGGGAGATGAGCTCAACTGTTCAGATCTATAGATGGGTTATTCACAAATTGTGATCACTCAAGAGATAAGTCCAGAGTATGAGAATGATTGATTGCCGTAAGACTAATTACCGTTGTTGAGCAGCTCGGTAAGTGTAAGCAGTGTAACTCAGTAAAAGGTGACAGTGAGCGCTAAGAAAATGATGGGACAATACATGTATACAATAATATCTGCGTATCTCTCTAGATCTAGCAGTATCTATACATACATAATTAGTGTTTTATGAATTTTAAGCATTTGTGTTCTCAAAACTTGGACCAAATGCTCTCGTGGTGTAAATGAGCATTGCGTCATTCACTGGGAAGTGCTGCTTTTCACAAGGGTGCCTGTGGTCTCCTCTGCTGTCCAGTTCATTGGCAGCAGATGTAGCCAGAAAAGATACCGTCCATTGAAGAACAGCCAGAATAGTGAGAAACCCAGAAATATTTCCCATGAACAAAGAGTAGGACTATTTATTGAGGAAATGGACATGATGGGGATGTAGAGATCAGGTCTCTTGTGTTTAAAGAACAGGACCCGAATAATCACAGGGATGTGTTCGCAAATAACAAGGAAACAGCACTTTCTTTTATTTCTGGAAAAGGAACGATAGATTTCAAGGGGAGAAATGTGTAGGCACAGCTTGGTGGTGTCACTGAGCAGAGGAATTACTGGCTATTATGGGATATTTGGATTTTGATGAATACTCGCTTTACTGCTGCAGTATTTAAAAATAAGGCCATCCGTCAGATGGGCACAGCTTTGGCTGTGGCATTCAGCCTCCACTGTAGAGCCAGCGGAAGAGGGCAATGGGGAATATTCATCATGGATGTTTTTCAAGGATGAAAGAGAAACGGGGACCTCCGTCATGGACAGCACTTCAGACCTGGTGGCATGGTCCATCTCTGCGCTTTTCAAACCAGATTCATTCCCCCGAGGTGCGAAGCGCGTTGTTGGGGTTGCCTAGGTAGGAACAGTATTGGAAAGAAAAGGCAGGACTGAAGCGAAAACCTCAGTGGCAGGGAAGTTTTCCTCTTGTCTTGTTCCTCAGGAGCTTGCGCTGCTTGTTACAAACCCCGTAGCCCTCTCGAAGCGCTGTGGCACCCCTTGCCGTGCTGATTCCTGCCTCTGTGCCCGTGGGCACTATTCTTGAGAAGATGTGCTTGCTTTTGAAGTGTGTTTTCAGACCTGCTGCTTTCCAGCTGACTGGCTTTCCCCTGGCTGGGGGAAACAGTTTTGTGGGTTTTTAACCTATTACTTATTTTGATTGTTTTTGTTTTGCCCCCACAGAAATCTCAGTGCTTCACCTTTGACGATGAGGAGCGGGAGGAGAGGAAGGTAGGCACACTCTTTTCTTTCTTCCTCTAGTCAGGTGCGTAAATCTGCTGCTGCTCTGTACTCCTGTCCAGCAGCTCCTACAGGGAAAGAAATGTGTGTTTTTTCATTAACTTGGTTAGGGAATGGTGTGCTTGGAGCATCTGGCTTCAGTTTTCCATCAGTAGTTGGTGTTTTAGGATAGAGGTCAGCATCCTTCCAGCATTAGCAAGCCCCCTGGGTTCTGTGATACGTACAGTCTCAGCCACGGGTGTATAAAAAGCGTGATCCTTCATGTTTGTGGCGTAAGTCTGCTCAGCAAAGATCATAGCAACATGCAAGCCTCTAGGCAGTGAGTGTTTTTGCTGTGAGGCAGTTGCAGGATTTGATCGAGGCTGTCTATTAACAGATAGTTGATGCTGGCGTAATCTGGCACTCAGTGGAGAGAAACACTCCTGCCTGTTCATTTCTTCTCTTGCAGTTCTTAAGTGCCAGGACAGACCTTTGCATGGCTACACATGGTTCACGGGCTGATCTGCCTAAAGAATAACTGTGGCGTTTGTTTGTTTGTTTTTTCCCTGGATTATTTTCCAGCTGGATCAGTTTTGTGGTCCAGTTCATTTGTTGATTGCGCTAATGCCTGTGTTAGCGCAGCAAGCGTGGACCAGGCAGCCAGGGTGGAGGACAGTGCCTCTCTGTATCACTGCCAGCTAATGCTAGCATGAAGTTTGTCCAGGTACAGCCCGATGCGTAGGACTGGATCGCACAAGATCCGAGGTCTTTGCCTTGTACTGAGTTGCTGTTTGAGCTGGGACAGTCACACAGCTGAGAATTCAGGCACAGCCTTGGGATGCTTCATTTTGGGGTGTTTGTCATGAAATACGAATCGAGCATCAACATCTAGTTCCTGGTGCATGCTCCTGAACATTTAGCCCTGGGCACGTGCTCTGAGATCTCTTTAACCTGAGTCAGTCAGTGGCTTTCGTTGCTGGTGACTGTCTTTAACTCCTGCGTCTCTGTCTCCTTGTCTGGAAGAAGAGGAGGAATGACTGTGCTTTCTCACTTCTCAGCGGGGTGTTTGTGGGGCGTACTTCACGAGGTAAAGCTTATTCAGTTCTGCCAGCCTCACATTAGGGACTAAAATTCGTTTTTTTTTCTTCATTTCTTCCCTCAGTCCTTTTATTATTCTGAAGTATAACTGATTAAGCTGTGTTAAGCCAGTTACACTGAGCGATAGCAAACCTTGCAGTCTTGGATTCCTTCGCTCTTGTAACGCGCATGGAAAGACACGTGCTCTGGTACGGTGTTATGTTAGAGACATCTAGTGAGATCTTACCTTGCCCAGGTGGGAACGTCTGTGCAGTGGATTAGTAGCGTAACGTGAAGTGTTGCTACACGTGGTTCAAACGAAGCTGCTTCTGGCTGTGTGAAGCGTTAGCTTTGCTCGTGCACTCTTCCGTTGCCTGCTGTCACATACCGTGCTGTTATCCACAAGGGGTAGATTTTCAGCTCTCGTGAATTGGGGTTAGTGGAGCTCTGCCAGTCTGTACCTACTGAGGATCTGGGCTAGTAGGTCTCCAGACAGCACTGAGGTTTAGGGAGATACTACTTATTTGAATCTCATGAGGTCTTTTCACCTCCTTTCCCAGGGCATCACGTGCTCTTCTCACCTCGTTTAGGTCCTTTTACTCTCCTTTGGTGATTTTTCTGACGCATCTCTCAACCTTTTCAGTCTGTTTCTGGAGCACCCAAAGCAGATGTCTCCCTAATCTTAAGGCTCTGGGTGGGAGTAGAGAACCACTGTTGAGTTGGTGGTTGCTCCTCAGTGAAGCCATAAGGGGTGTTTTTGCCCTGCCCTCTCTTTGCTTAATGCAGCTGTCAAGTAAACCCTGTTAGCCTGAACCATCATAACCATGGGTGAAGCTAAAATATGCAACAGCAGCAGTTGCCTGTTCGTGCTCTCTCCTTACATCTGGTACCCTCTCCCAGCCACTCTTGGTTTCTTGCTGAGTGTCCTTGCTCAAACTGGGTCTCGATCAGATGCCGGAGCCAAACACTCCCCGATTGCCGAGTGCACACCTGAACCAGAGCCGCGAGCAGGCCCATCTCTAGGTGACACTTGTGTCTTCCAGGGCAGAGCATTGCAGGGTGGTGGGGGAACACTGTGAAGTGTTAATGCGTGAGCCATTACTTCTTTCCAACCGCACAGAAAATGGCCCAGCTGCTGATCAAGTTCCTGGAAAGAGAGCTGCAGCCATCCTGCCAGGTCACGTGTTTGGAAAGCATCCGCATCCTGTCCCGGGACAAATACTGCCTTGAGCCCTTCACCACCAAGGAAGGCCTGAAGACCCTCTCCAGGCATGCTGGCATTGATTACTCAGAGGAGCTCATCCGGGAGGTCCCAGACTTGGATGTAATCCTGGAATCCCTCAAATGTCTCTGCAACATTGTGTTCAGCAGCCCAAGGGCACAGGAGCTGACAGCCGAAGCCCGGCTGGTGGTGGGCCTGGCCAAGCGCATCAAACTGTACAATGAGAGGAGTCTTCCTCATGAGGTCAAGTTCTTTGACCTGCGTCTCCTGTTCCTGCT